AGGGTGGTGAGCCACTGGCACAGGTTGCCCAGAGAAGCTGTGGCTGCCCCATCCTTGGAAGTGTTCAAGGCCAAGTTGGACAGGGCTTTGTGGAAGGTCTAGTGGAAAGTGTTCCTGCCTGTAGCAGGTGGGGTGGAATGAGATGATCTTTAAAGTCCCTTCCAACACAAATTGTTCTGTCATCCAACCCCAACTATTCTATGAGTTTGCCTACCGAGGTTCTTTGAAAGACAACAAATAAGACTGAACCCCATGCCTATAATATAGCTTTTTATAAACAAAAGATTACAAAACCGTAGAGTGTGAAATGGTATGTAAATAGAGATTTCATTACATAGCACAGAAGAAATTCAGATTGTAACAAAAAATGTGCAAAATAAATGCCATGTATCTAGATGCGGTTGTTATAAACCAGTCAAAACTGTGTTTTGGCAAAAAGTATTACTGTGTACTGTATATACTACAATATAGTCAGTGCAACATGGCATAACAGATCGTTAGTAACTGTGGTTTGTACTAAATATAAATTACTATATATACAGTAAGTGCATGTTTGAAGTAAAATAATTTTTTTGAAACATTAGTTAGGGAAGGACCTTCAAGGGATTAAACTCTAAAATTATTTAATTGTTCCACCTGAAACAAGCTGGTATCAAGATTTGTTTTCAAATCCCATCAAATCTAATCTTTTTCATACACATTTCTGGTATGAAGAATTTCCTGTATAAAATTAGTAAATTTTTATTTCACTGAAAGGCTCTTTTTCCTCAGTAATCATCCACCTTTAGTTAGGAAGAGTGAAGAAATTATGCTGGAAGCTGTATCAGTGAGAACACTTATTCTCAAATGATTGGTAAGAAAATCATTTTAATGATTTAAAGTTAATGACTCAGTAAGAGATTCAGGCATCTAGGAGAAAGCCTGGAAGACACTGCAGCCTGCATTCACAACGACAGCAATGTAAAAACCTGCATTCACCTGCTGCCTCATCCCAATAGTTCCTAATAAAGCAGTCTGATAAACACCCTCAGAAAATACTGAGGTATGCAGGCAGATGATCATGAGCAATTGTCCATCAATTGGACTGCATTAAATGACTGTGAGTTTATTCCCAGCCTTTGAGTGGTGTTAATATGCCCCAATTTAAAGCAGATATAAGTGGCTACAAAAATATATGCAAATAAGTTGAAAGCAACTCTTGAAGTGGTAATTGGTTCAATTTCTGACCGCACAGTTGTAAACAATCTTTTTAAAGTGGTTGTGTCACCGCAGCTGCAACCTGCCCTCTACATAATAGCTCCCTGTTACAGAGCACTCATACATAAAATGAATGATCAGTATCCGCTTCCCTCCTCGTCCCAAGGGACGCTAAACATGTAAAATAAAAATGCTTCACTTAAAGGGATAAAATGGTTACCAGCAAAATATTTTGCATGTATTTAAGAAGCATAGAACACCTGAAGATGGTATAGCCCCTTACTGTGTGGAAATCATAGCTTATTCAGAAAATATGTTTGTATGTTTAGATTTAAATCAGACTGATGTAATCAATTCTTGTATGAGTGACGTAGCATTTCATTGCTCATTAATGGTGAAGAAAGTTTTGCAGCATTTAATTGCTAGGAAACATTTAAAATCAGCAGAGCTTGTAAACCTCTGAGCATTTTCTCCTCCATATTTGCCTTTTAAACATCTCTCCTTCCAGTTTGCTGACCTTGCATCCCATTCTGAGACAATAAGACATAACATCAGCATTAGGCTCCTCGCCAGTCCCTGTAAGTTTGTAGTCAGAATCACTTGGCAGTCAGATACCTATGAATTTTACTGAATTTGTGTTGACCCCAGAGATGAATCTGCAAAACACGCATCTTCCTCCTAAGCATCCCTACCGTTTGTACTTTGCATACAGTTAATACTGGATAACTTGGTGGATTACATTAACATCAATTCCAAGTTTAATCTTTACCCTAAAACCTCAACCTGGGAGAGCACATTTTTGGTTTTTATTTTTTCTAGGTTCCCAAAACCCACAATTGAGCAGGCAGTTACGTTTCAAAACTCCAAGGTACTAGTCCCATTTACTTAATCATGGGTCTTTTGATCTGTTGTATTTTAATTGTATTAACGTTTTCACATTAAGAGTAACATAAAAATAAAATTGGGGGTTCAATTATTCAGAGATATGCCTGTTAGAGGCATACTAATGCACCACCTGAGGCCAAGCTGCCTGCAGCTTTGAAACATGTTAACATGTGGAACAGTCAATGTAAATAGCAGTGCTTAGTTTCTACCTCTGACTTGGAGGTGAAATCTTCACTAGTAAAAATTTCGATACTATTTTTGGGCAATGTTGCAGGTGAAAACTAAGTAAATGCATTGAAATAAAAAGTAATTGTTCATTAAATCTTTCCTTCAGTTAATAAACACTCAATTATTTCCCCTCCAGCCTATTCAACATTTTTCTCTTCTTCTATTATTAAGTTTTCCAGGCTTTTATTTTCAAATTCAGTTTCATTAAAACTTATGGATAAAGTATAAAGGCATTCTTCCATCTTACTGATACAATCGGTGTTATTTCTAAGGGCAGTATTTCCCTTAAACTTCATAAAATTCATAAGCAATGTCAAAATTTATTTTAATGGTTTATTGCATCCTAGATTTGTTATAAATAAAACTCTTAGATTTTACTGCTTTCATGCCTGTCATTCAATTCTAGTATTCACTGCTGCAATAAATTAGGTCTTACAAACAACAAACCATCATAGAACAAATTCAAGAGATGCTATAAGTAGGGAACAAACAGGAAATTATCTAGCGCAAGCTTTTTGAGTGTAAATCCCTTGACACATGTTGCAACCAGCCAGTTAATTGTAAATCGTTGTAAATCTGAAATGAAGCAGAGGGGGTAAAACTAACAAGTCATAAACTAAAACTGTTACTTGTTTGCAGTGATTATTGCTGCTGTCAACCAAGTCCAATATCTTGCAACAAAGAAGCTGTTTTTATATTTCTTCCAGTGTAGCTGTTTCCAGCTTGTTCTGGAAAATACATATAATACTTATCAATACATTATGGGTCACACAAAATTTATGCTTTCACAGATGCTGAATGTTTACAACAGCATCATACTACTCGCATCACACACTGCTCTCTCTTCCTTATTTACCCACAACAGATTTTCTCAGTATTGGACAGAGTACATAATGGTGTTAAAAAATGGTGTTCTATGCCAGGGGGCATATCACCACCGCATCAGCTGTAATGCAGGACCTGTCTTTCAGAATGAAGAGGACGTACAAAGATAACTCTAAACAGGAGCCTCTTACACAAGCAAATTAAAAGTTTGGCAAAGTCACAAACAACTGGAAATAGGGTTATCAAAAGGACAAAGACTGAGAATCTTTGTAATTAGCCCTGCTACCATTTTCAGCAATGACACTTGAGACTTCTCACGAATATATTACTTAACTATAAATTTTCTTTCAGTCTTAACGGCTTGGCAGATTTTCACCATTAACCTGCAGCCAAAATGGGATTCCATGTTATGTTGCCAGCATTACAACACTGACCTAATTTGTTCCTCATACTGTATGTGCAAAACACAGTCAGAAAACATGAAAAAAAAAGTTTTTGTGTCTTATGGTTATTTCCCAGAATTGAACCAGTATATTACCAGTATTCTAAAACTGTAAATACAATAAGGGGATAGAAAGGGAAAATCAGAAAGGCAGATTCAACTTGTTTAAAATATAACTCAACTTATTATAGGCTCTCACTTGGTGCCAATGAATTTTGTTATTGAAAACAAATATCCATCTGTTTTTTAACAATGTTAAGTTACTTATTTTTTATAAAAAATATTAAAAATTTTTATTAAAAAATTAATTTTAGTAAAAAATTAAAAAGTTGTAAAAAATATTTTTAGCTGCTCTAAAAAATGTGAACATTTAAAATATAACAGTACTTAAATACTGGGCTCATAATTTATTCTCTTTTTCCCCAGCCAAGAAAACCCCACCAAATAAAACATTTAAGTTCTGCCATGAAAATGTGTGTATGCCTCACTTCTCTTACCTTGGCATTTACTGAATCCTTCCATTATTACTGAGATATATGAGCATTATTGCATTTCTTTTTTTACCACAAATAGAAACAGGCTTCCATTATATTTTTTTGAAGGGACTCAAGTTCTGAACCTTTTTCAAGTACTAAATAGGATAGATCTCAGGCAGTAACTCATGTAATTCTAGTACTACATAAAATAACTTTTACTTAGTATTTAGTATGCATATGCTTCAATTCTAGGATAAATACTAAGTATGACAATGTCATGGAATACTGTATAAATGTGGAGAAAACAAATTCCAGTGAGTTTGATGGTAAATCAACAAGACAAAAGGTAAGTATTTATTTAGTATAAATCAAAGCAAAAAGGTTCCCAGCTTTAGAATATGTTTCTGCTCTCTCCTAGCTGATGAAGGATTGCTAAACTGGGGTCTGAGTCATGACAACCTGTCTGAACAGAATCACCTGAAGAACGTTTTACTCATGCTGTTTGCTCCACAAGAAATTAATTAACTTCATTAGCAAGATATTTAGATTAATCATTATATATACAAAAGAATGTTTTTTACAGACTTAAATGTTCAAAAATCTCAAAAGTGTACTCACATACTAATGACTAATGTCTGCAACCAGAAAAAACAAGCAACTAAACCGCTCTTCCCTTCCAAAACGAAGAAAGGAAAGAAAAAAGAGAAAAAAAAATAAAGACAAATTGAAATAATAAACTATCTAGGAAATGTATCAGTGGACCAACTCCTCAACTGTGACAATTAATGGCCTGTTTGGCATCTCCCTGAGATGAAAGAATGAAAGATGAATGTTCAACAGAATGCTGTTTTTTGTTTTTCCCCTTGAGCTAAAGGTGCTTAAAGAAGGTACAAATCCAATGCGGTATAACCATAACCAGTCACGGAAGGATGCTATAAGTCACTTACAGGAACGAGGAATTTTTTTATTTCTTCCAAGGCATGACTCATACGAGAATACGCTTCTCCAGGCGGAGCAAACACTTCAATTAATACGTGAAGCTCATCACTCAAGTGCGCGTATTTGGCTTCTCCACTTTTCCTTAGTTCTTCCTCCTACAAAAAAAGTGTGTGGGTTTCTTTTTAGAACTGGGAATCTACTGATTTTGTATTGATTTAGCATTTACAGAGAACATGACAAAAGGACATAATATAGCAGACTTCTAAACCCTTTGAGAAATAAAAGTCTAGTACAAGCCACTTAAGAGATTTAAAAATCAATTGAGTGTTTGAATGATAAAATCAGCATAATTACCATCTATAACAGATTTTAATCAGCATAGTAAAAACATGCTAAATACTACAGAAGCAAGTGCTGAAATATTAAACCTATAACGGAAAACCTGCACAAATCTGTCTGAATCTTAGTTGTTCACAATGGAAAAGAAAGGCTCATTTAACATTTCGGAGCGCTTTAAAAATGCTGTTGTTTATTAAAGTGTTTAAGCTACTTAATGACTATCTGAAGGCTGCACATTTTAGTATCACTAAAATAAAGTATGCCTTAAGTCGTACTATTTGAGATATAAGGTCTGAGTTGTTCCAGTTCTGATATATGGTACCTATACAATCTAGTGTACACTGGTTAAGATGGTGATTCACCTCACGTAGATTTATCTTGTCAATCTCCAAGTCCCAGTTTTCCAGCTATAAAATAAACCTAAAAATCCTACTTTATGTTAAAGTAATGTTTTAAAACGTCAATCCACTTTTTTATACAAGGCTTTGAGATAGTGAATGTAAATCATAAAACATATTCATAGTAGTTACCTCTACATAAAAAGCAAACATATAAAATAGTGATCATGTGAATAGCATTGACTGTGACAACATAACGAAAAAATGTTGTCATTACTACAGAAGATAGCAATAAGTAACGCTGAAGAAATGAGTTTAAAACTTCAGAATTAATTTTGAAGAAAATATGCATATATATCTGCTTTTTATAGACAGAAAACATAATCATAGAATCATAGAATGGTTTGGGTTAGAAGGGACCTTAAAAATTATCTAGTTCCAGTTTCCCTGCCATGGGCAGGGACACCTTCCACTAGACCTGGTTGCCCCAAGCTGTCTCCAACCTGGCCTTGAACACTTCCAAGGCAACCACAACTTCTCTGGGCAACCTGTGCAAGTGTCTCACCACCTTCACAGTATGGTAATTCTTCCTAATATCTCATCTAAATCTACCCTCTAATCACAGAGAAAGTAAACTAGTTTGCTTAAAATTTGCTAAGAAGTTACAGCTTTATAAATACACTAAAATACTTTATGAACTTCTGGATTTTTTATATCTAAGACATAAAAATTGTAACGATAGATTACAATTCTTATTTACTTATTTATTTATCCTTTAACTTCACCTGTCTTAGCCTTGCCTCATTTACACCATTGCTTAAAACCAAAAGTATCTACACAATGCTATGCTTCAAACAATACACATCCAGTTCTTTCTATCTGCAGTAGAAGATGTACTTAATGATTTTTCACAAAACACACAATGGTTTAATCCTTTAGCTCCAGAACCCTAGATCTTGCTCCATGATAAGTCAACATTTTGCAGATGATGATAAAATCATAACTCAATACATGTGACCCATGATTTTATTTTTGAAAGTTGAAAATTGAGGTAATTGTTTTAAGCTAAAAAATAAATATTAAGATCATCAGGACAGAAGGTAGAATATCTTTATATTTACTCTTAAAGTATCTTTGTCATTTTATTTTTTCACTTGAAATCTCACCAAAATGTTCACAGAACCAGAACATGAAATAACACTCTCTCATGAGATGTTACAATGCTTTTCAGTTTTCTGGAAAAAAACCCAAACATATGACTGTACTTCTGGAATAATTTGACATGAAGTATTTCAACAGAATTAAGTTTTAATAGTTGTAAAGTGATATCCTAGTAATTGCTCAAAGTTTTCTCCATAATGCTTTTTAAAAAGTCTCTTGAAAAACACCAGAAAGCCCCCAAAGTCAGTGCTGCGAAGTTGACATCCACACTACTTAAATTTAGGATGACAGGACTACCCCTTCTCTTAGTGTTTTTTGCCTGCTAGTTGTAGTCTAGTTGCACAGAGCTCCCATAAGAAGTCAGAGAGCCTTCCTGGAGCCCAGCTTCAGTTTAGTTAGGTGGAATAGGAGTCGGTTCATTTCCCATGGTCTTTGTTCAGTGTAAGTAATGGCCAAGTCCTTGGGAATGATCAGGAGGCTCTCCCCTAAACCATGCTTCTGATTGAAGCTAAAACACTAATGAATAAAGACCCCACACAGTACTGGTAAGGACCAAGATGGATTGAGACTTTCTGGCATCTGCCACATGAAGGCAAAAGGAGTGACATTATCATAAATCTATCTTATACAGTGCTATTTATAAGGTTATGGAAGTGCTGTTGGCCTTGCAAGACTGCACCCTTAAGGGTCTCTAATGCACCAGTCCAATCACCTATGGACTTTGGTTATTTTTCATACAATTACGCCTTAACCACCTGTTAGGTCCAGCTATTCCCCATGGTGCTGTTTGTAACTTTTGTCAGATTCTCACACCTTTTTACATTCTACCATTTCCCACATCATGTGCAGTTTTCCAGAGCCTGTTTAGCTTGCACAGCTTTGGCCAAGGTTACCTAGCAGCCTAGTCATTTGCCTCCAGCTCTATCATGGAGATTGTAACTGCTTAAGCATACTCATGTAGACATGAATGGAATTACTGTGAAAAACAGTCTGCACTGAAAGCCTGATGCATTCACTGTAGAGAATGACCTTAAAAACAATCAAATGCAGTTTATGTCTTAGGCACTGGATCTTAGGGGAAAAAAACCCAAACCAAACACCAAAACCAACAACGCAAAACAAACAAAAAAAACCCAAACAAAAAATCCCAACAAATCTAGGACCCGATCAGCTCTGATTTATAAAATGAATGGAAGATTCCCTGGGCTTCTGGATCAGTGATGGCAATCTCTCAGTACTGACCCTCACTCAGGTTAGTAAGTTCTTGTTTACTGCATGGTGATGTTTAACTGCACAGCAGGATAAGTACAGCAGAAAAAAAAACACCACCCTCCAAAGACAACTACCCCCTCATCCTGATCCTTTTCCACTCCCTTCTGCATGCTAATTCCCCTCATCTCTCAAGACTGACAGTACCATATTCCACACACAAACCCAGCTCCCCTCACCCTATGTGCTTCAGTATTCCTTCACCCTCATCTGCTACCTTAAAATGTCTGTCACACAGTGCTGAAGTCTACCTGCCCTTAACCTGATGCATAGCTCCATAAACCGCTCCCTCATAAAAGATAACAGGTGCTTTGAAACATCTGCTGTGTTTTATAATTTCCAGTTGACCAAAGCAGGGAAAATGAATTATAAAACTCCATAGAAGAAATTTGAGGAGTACTGGCCTCTGCAAAAGTGAAGCATGTCAGTGGTAAGGCTACAAAAGGCAAGAAAAATGATGAATTATCTCTGGATGAGAAAGCAACCTCACCATTTTAAAAGGATGTGTGTTGACAGAGAACTGATTTCTAGCTGGAACCCTGGCCAAAATGCTTCAATAAAACTACTGGAAGAAACTTGAAAGAACAAATGGAGTTTGCATAGCAAACAAAATTACACAACCCAGATCAATGAATAAAAAGTATCCTCATAACACTTAAATAACAGAATATAAAAAAAATAAGAGAAGCCTGCAGCAGGAATTGTGTAGATCTCAGAGATAAATTTCGTCAATAAAATACACAGAACTTCCTATAACATAACAAATACAGCTCTGAAAAGAAACAACAGGTACTCAAAAGAATAAAATGAGAGCTGCAGTGGATTACTTACCTTGCAAGAATTTGCAAATGAAAGCACAGCACAGAGATTAGACAACGATGATGATCACAGCGCTGTTGCTACAGATGCATTATTCATAAGATCAATGGACAATTCGACAGAAGAAAACTAATGAGTATAAAGTTTTGTAGATGTAAATCTACTAATGTTTAATATGGACATAAATGCAAAAATAAAGATGTCTGCAACGACTGCAGTAAAAGTAAGAAGTGAACTATACAGTAACAAGTAAATCAGAATAGGTATTTCAGGTCCTAGGTCCCATCAGTGGAGAAACAGAGAACAAACCAAACCAAACCAACAAACAAAAGAAAAAAAAAAAAAGAAACCAAAAAATGGAAATAATCTGAGAATGGATGTGGTAGAATGGCACAGCTCTCAGCAGGGTACAGAGTGAAGCTTAAAAGAGCTTAGCCATCCCCCAACTCTTGTTTTTAAACCAGTTATTCTCATTCCAGGAAGAGGATCAAGAAGGTGGAGATGGTGAGTACATGAGGGGAGGTCACACAGCAGAGCTAAGAGAGTGGGTATACAACACCTGCTGCCAGCCACAAAGACCCCATAAAGAAATACAGCCATGCAGACAGAACATTCCTTACAACAGAGGAAATTTGTTGAGATACAGGTGATAGAAGTTATTTTTCTATACTTGATGAGCCATGAAAATTCTTATAGTTGCTTTGGCAAAATAGAGCAGGGATTCAGCACTGCCTTGGGCAAACAGGCCCTTCAGTTCAAGGGTGCTTTATTTCCTGATGCTTTTCATAATGAAATACAAGAACACCTTTATGGCAAAGAGGTACTAAGCTGTACCTAGATACTAATTTTGTTTAGATAGGTGAGAAAAAAAAACAAAGACAAATCAGTAGAAGAATATGATAACGGAACTATTGAATCACTTTTGTAAAGAGCCCAAACACCTGGGGTGAATGTTAGATGAACAAAAAATATAAATTCTGTGAAAGAAAAATAAATGTTTAGGAAAAAGGCTAACACAATAAAGTGTTATGTGCCAAATCTGAGGCTACAACCAGTGACCACTGTGACCAACATCTAGTGACGTATGTATACATTATCTGCCAGAAAACTGATAGAGCAGAGAGAGAGTTCACAAACCTACAAATATTCCTACACTTGTACAAATCTAAGCAAAAGCTAAAACAGCATAGGTAAGAATCACCCAGTGTCCTAGGTTCAGCAGCAGCAGT